CAACCCAAACCATTCCATGATTCTGTGAAGTCTTGGCCAGTGAAGGTCACAGGCCCTGGCTGCTGCTTGTGCTGAGATGTCATGTATGATCTGATCTTTCACACCTGTGAGTCAAAGCAGGGTGAGGCTGTGATGCTCCATGTTCAGCTGCTTCTTCAGAGCAGTTTTATCTCTAGCGTTGGTTGTGTACTTCTGTGCAAATTACTGACCTCACCCGTTTGCACTTGGTCATCTGTTATCTGCAAGCACACGTGTGCAAGAAAGAACTCGTGCCCGGGTGGAGAGTGGCAGGATTCCCTGCCCTCCACCCAGGTTGGTGACTGCCATCTCCTCCATTCCACACACTTGCAGGTCTGGCTCCAAGGCCCACATGGAAAGGTTGGAGGAGGTGACCAAGGAGATCGAAGCCACTGACACCTACCAGCTGCGGGACACCGAGCTGATCTACGGAGCCAAGCATGCCTGGAGAAACGCAGCCCGCTGTGTGGGCAGGATTCAGTGGTCCAAGCTGCAGGTGAGCACCGGCACAGCTGGACACATCTGGCAGGTTGCCTGCCAAAGGGTGCACAGGAGTTCTGGAGAGGCAAAACTCGCTCTTCAGACACGCGGGGAAGCACAGCACAGGGATGGCTGGGGGTGTTCAGCACACAGCAACTATGGTCTCCTGGACAGCTTTGGGGATGCACAGCCTGGGAAGTCAGCAGGAGCTGGAAAAGCATCTGTGGCGTAGGTGTAGCCGAGGTGTCTGAAACGGGGCCAGCTGGAAGCTGGCACTCTAGAAAATGTTTTCCAGAATTGGATACTGCTCCAATGTCTTACATGGTGCTTCCAAAGCTATTGCTGTGCCTGGAGAGAGGCAGCAGGACACACTCATCCTTGGTACAGAGATGCTACGGCAGGAGAAGTTTTGGCTCGGTGCCCTTTTGACTAGCTGGAAGCATAGGGTAGGATCTGAATTGTTGATGTCTAGTGGAATCCCTTGGTAGGGAGATGACGTCTCCCTCTGTAACCTGGAGCACAGCTCAAGTGCTGCTGAGCAATTCTTGTGGCTGCTTCACACAGGGTATAGGCACTGCATGGGCCAGGAGGCTGGACCTCCTTCACCCCCAGCTCAGCCTTCAGCTCTTCTCTTCCACTGTTTCTTTTGGCATATCTGAACCTTGGGAGGAGCTGTTTCAGCAAGAAGTTGTCTTCAAGCCTCCCGTTTCTGGGTGTCCCCATCCTTTTATAGGTGCCTCATCCCTGGAAACGTTCACGGTCAGGTTGGATGAGGCTTTCAGCAACCTGGGCTAGTGGGAGGTGTCCCTGCCCATGGCAGGGCTTTGGACTAGATGACCTTTAAAGGTCCCTTCCAACCCAAACCATTCTGTGATTCTATGATTTCCCATCCTTTCACCAGATCTCAGGCCTGACTGATGCCTGTCCTATTTCAGCTTTGAGCCTTGATCTACAAGAGACAAAGAGCAGAAACCAAACGTGTTGATGGCTAAGCCAGGAACCGCAGCAGATTGAGAGGAGTGGATTGGGAGGTATCACCTCTCCAAAGCAGAAGGGGCAGCTGGATTAGACATCCACATGTTGTAAAAGCAGGGAACACATAATTGTGGAGCTTTAGATACCTAACAAACCATGGTGGCCTCCAGGGCTTTCCCTGTGCTGTGTTTCTCCTGCTTGGCTCTGCCCTAAGAGTTGGAGCATCCTGTAGCATCACCACAATTGCTTCCGCTGTTTCAGGTGTTTGATGCCCGGGACTGCACCACAGCCCATGGGATGTTCAATTATATCTGCAACCACATCAAATATGCCACCAACAAAGGGAACCTCAGGTGAGCCACTAGGGAGTCCCCAGGGTTTATATCCAAAGGCCTCTGGATGTGTGTCCTCTGCCACGGGCTCCTTTAGCAGCTGCTGCACAACAGGGTGGTTGTAGTCAGCACCCATCCTGGGGAGGATTAGAGGGACCTGGCGTGGGGAAAGGTGTCCTGCTGGTCCAAGTATCTCTCTTCTTGCTCTCTGTGGGCCCTCAAAGGGTGGATTTTCCAATTATTTCTCCTTTCCTACATTCTCCATCAAATGCAGAGCACGGGCTGCTCTCCAGATCTGTCTGAAACCCCACGTTAGCAGCCAGCTTCTGCCTGGAGCGGAATTGCTGGAAACACCCCAAATTCCAGAGCTGGAATGCACAGGGTGGTGGCAAGCAGGGACAACACCTCTCCCTCACACCACTTTGCCATTCCTCAGATGACCCCTGTCCTGTGCCCTTGCCTTCTCCTCACCATTCACCAGCCCTGCCTCTTCCCTCCAGATCTGCTATCACCATCTTCCCGCAGCGGACAGACAGCAAGCACGACTTCCGCATCTGGAACGCCCAGCTCATCCGCTACGCTGGCTACAAGCAGCCCGATGGCACGGTCCTGGGAGACCCGGCAAACGTGGAGCTGACGGAGGTACTGGCTGAAGCCATCCTTCCTGGGCACCACGGGCGTGGGGCTGGTGGGGCTGTGCAGGAGCATCCCAGGAGGGTGCTGGGTCAGGGTTTATCCCATCCACTGCAGTGCCACAAAGTGCAGCTGGATTTGCCTCACCCTCAGATATTTTTCTAGGAATAAAAGCTGCTTCCACACAGGCAGGAGTTGTCCATAGCTACACCAAAAGGCTCTTTGAAGGTGTCCCTGCCCATGGCAGGGGGGTGGAACGCGATGATCTTTAAGGTCCCTTCCAACCCAAACTATTCCATGATTCTATGCTTGTCTCACTTTCCTTTTGCTGAGAAGGGGTCACGTAGTAGTGCTGAGGGTATTGCAGAAGGACACGGTGCCCATCATGGTCCTGGGCCAGTGGGAATCAGAAATGAGATTTGCCTTCTGCAGCTGCCTCTTGGTGCTGCCTGCACAGCACCAGTGCTCTGCCCAGCTCTTCCCACACTCCGCTTTTCTCATCCATTTTCTCCTTCACCATTACAGGCACAAATAGGGTAAGCAGCTTTTTCAGAGCCTTGGTCCTACCTGGGGATCTAGTTGTAGGCTCATTTTCAGCCCAAATCCCCCTTACATGGCCATGGGTTGGCTGAGACAGGCAACTCCGTGTCGTAGCTTCCTTGGATGGAGGTTAAGACTCAACAATAAGGACTGAGCAGAGATGCTGATACAAGCCCTGCTCAGTGCCATGCAATTCCCTGCCCATAGTGCTTGAAGAGCAGGTGATCTGCTGGGACTTCTAAACCCCGCTTTGTTTTTCCCTGTAGATCTGCATTCAGCAGGGGTGGAAGGCACCGCATGGACGCTTCGACATCCTGCCTCTGCTCCTCCAAGCCAACGGCAATGACCCAGAGCTCTTTGAAATCCCCCCAGAGCTTGTGCTGGAAGTGCCCATCCGGCATCCCAAGTAAGTCAGAGTAACTGAAACTGCATGAGGGGATCTGAGCTCCTCTGATTTCACCCTAAGCCATCTCCTGTGTTGGTTTTTTCTTGGCGTGGCTTGGCTGCTTTACCCAAGACCCTCTTCCAGGTCTTCCTTCCACTCTGATGTAAAGCTGGCAGAGCCTGGAGGTGGAAAGCAAGGTGTGTCCTTGTCTCAGGACTGGTTTCCCTTTCCTTGAAGCCTCCCAGGATATATCGCTTTCTCCCCATAAACAGCCCCAAACAGAGATGTTGCCTCCAGGAACCATTCTGCTCACATGTCCTTCAGTCTGGTGGCTGGTAGTAAAGTGACCTCCTCCATTCCCCTGCCTGCGTTGGGCAGGGGAGGTCCAGCTGGGTGCCTCACCCTCTTGTATCCCGGCAGGTTTGAATGGTTCAAGGACCTGGGCCTGAAGTGGTATGGGCTGCCAGCGGTTTCCAACATGCTCCTTGAGATCGGTGGCTTGGAGTTCTCCGCCTGCCCCTTCAGTGGCTGGTACATGGGCACTGAGATTGGGGTCCGGGACTATTGTGACAACTCTCGCTACAACATACTGGAGGTAATTCCCCCTCCTCAAGAAGGCCAGGCACTCCTGCAGTGCACTGGGGGTGTGTGTGAAGTTACTGGGGAGCAGGACAGGCCACTGGGAGAGCGTTGCCTTGGGTGGGAGAGTAGAGGACATCTGAGTCTCCCTCAGAAAGAGCAGTTATGTTCTCCTGGAAGCACATGGCCAAGGATGTCATGGACTGGCAAGTTTTTTGTGTCCTATGGGGCCAGTTAGTACTTAACACATGGTCTGGCACAGGAAGGGCTGCAGGGGTCTGCTCCTTCCAGCGCATGGACCAGCACCATCTCCTGCTGTCCCACCTATTTCCTCTCTTCCCACAACTGCTCTTGATGGCCCTTTTCAGCAGCATTGAGTCAGTTTCCTGTGCCTGGGAGAGGAAGGGGGGCTAGACTGGCCTCGTTCCCCTCATGGAGAGGAAAAGGCAAGACCAGAAAGGAAGGGAAAATGTCAGCCCTCCATTGCCAGAGTGCTGCCTGGCCAGTGGGTGCCTTGGTCAGCCTGGGTCCCTCCTCTGGGCTCCTCTCTCCAAACAGAGATCTTCAGTCCTTGGTTCTTGGCCATTTAAAGTGTTGACCTTCTACCATGTTTTGTTACAGCAAGTGGCCAAGAAAATGAATCTGGACATGAGGAAAACCTCCTCACTGTGGAAGGACCAAGCCCTGGTGGAGATCAACATTGCTGTGCTGTACAGCTTCCAGGTACCCCAGCAGCAGGACTCTGCTGTGGTTGAGTCAGGCTTGAGGGACACAAGTATGGGATGGGATGAGGGGGCAAGATCCAGCCCTTCTGTCCTGTCCATGAGGCAAGAATTGGCCTGGGCTCTCCCCCCGCCTGCACTTAAAGGTTGAGTAGTAACACTAGTCCTCGGCCATCCAACTGCAGAGGGTGGGAGTCCCTCCCAGAGCTGCTCCCTGAGTTGTGCAAGCCATGAAAGAGTTCCCCAAGAGGCCAAGCAGAGAATGCTCCATCCTGTTCATGCCATTGTACTCTTTGCTTGGCCCACGACAAATAACAAGAGGAACAGCCATCCCGTAGTGCATCTACTCAGGAAGGATGAGGGCAGCTTTACAGCCTCCTTGGGAAGACCAGGGTCAGCAGCCTCCCTGTGTCATCTCCTATAAGGCCATGGGTGTGAGGCACATTTGGGTCAAACAGTTCCCAATGTAAAATCTTGGCGTTTGCTTTCTGGGGTGTGTTAACCCACAGTTGTTGGCTCTGCTCTCTTCTCCCTCCAACAGAGTGACAAGGTGACCATTGTGGACCACCACTCTGCCACCGAGTCCTTCATCAAGCACATGGAGAACGAGTACCGATGCCGCGGAGGCTGTCCTGCCGACTGGGTGTGGATTGTCCCACCTATGTCTGGCAGCATCACCCCGGTTTTCCATCAGGAAATGCTCAACTACCGTCTCACGCCCTCATTTGAGTACCAGGTACTGTCTGCACCCCACTTCCACCAGTGCTGTGTGCCCAAAGGTACAGCCAGGAGCAGGCTGGGAGCTGGAGCTTGGGACTGGGAGATGCAGGAAGGAGCAGGACCCCATCTAATCCCTTCAGCAAGCTGTCCCTGGAGGCAGGGAAGGCCATGAACAAGTTGAATTGATGATTCCCCCTAATATGGTGTAATCACCCCCTGGATATTACCCCTTTTCCCAGGGGAATGGCTTTTTGTCCCTCAATGGGAACATGGGACACCCAAGACCCCAACTTTTACCCTTGGTAGCGGAACTGAGCAGAGCTCCTCCCTTTCCAAGTGCCTCATTTTGCCCTTTGATGGGCAGGTGAGGAAATGACCTGGTGGTCACCATGTCCCCGCTCTGTCCAGCCTCCAGCATTGATGGGGTGGCTCCTGCCAGCGTAGGGATCCACCAGTTTGATGGGGAGGGAGGGCTCCAAGCAATGGGCTGACGTGCTGGTGCTGGAGTATTTAACACCGTGGGAAAAAGAACCCTGAGCAAACATGCCCTCATTAGCCAACCGTCCCTGCTCCGGTGGTTTTCACACAATGTGACCTTTAGTCAAGAGCCCTTAAGGAACAATCACAGAACAGGAGCAGGCTGTTCATTTCTGTAACCAATCCACCAGAAACCCCCACGGTTCCTGGCCCTCATTACAGACAGCCGCCTGCGAGGGCACGGAATTAGCTTCTGTGCACTTAGTCCTTGCTTCAGCTGCCTCCCCTTCCCAAAGGGCCTTTTAGGAAAAAAAACCCAAACAAACAACAAACCTGTGGGCTGGAGAGGGAAAAGGATATGTTTCCATCGCCTCTCCCCTTCTGGTGGTGCCTGCCTTCTTTTTGCTCGCGGTTTATTAATGCTCATCTCAGAGGTGAGAAGGCATTTGGCCAGATGCTGATACAAGCCGGCAAGATTATTTATTATTATTATTATATTACAAGTTTTCTGTGCATAACTCCATTGCCCAACTGTCCCAAGAAATACCACAGGGCTCCAAGGATCAGGGACCTATACAAGAGAAGGATAGCTGGGAAGAGCCCAGCTAGTCCTTCCCTTCATGACTAGAGGAATTCAATCCTCCGTGCGGTGAATGCACCATTTCTCGAAGCTGTGAGCACTGCCCATCAACCACTGCTGCTCTTCTCTCTTCTAGCCCGACCCCTGGAACACTCACGTCTGGAAAGGTGTCAACGGAACGCCTACCAAGAAGAGGGCCATTGGCTTTAAGAAGTTGGCAAAGTAGGTACCAGAGGGCTCTGAAATCCCTGGGGTGTTTGGGGCTGGTCCTGGTCTGGGGCAGCTCTGCTGTTTGATAGCACTGCCCTATGGATGTGTGTGAAGTGAGGGGTTGTGAGGCTGGATCTCACTCCACCGAAGGCTTTTTCATCCGAGAGGGACATTTGGAGACACAGGCAGTCCTTGGAACGCCCCACTAGACCACCAAAAGGTGTGTGACCAGGCAAACACCACATGTTGCCTATAGGCTCTTCTCCCAAGCTGGTCCATTCTCCAGTAAGGTGGTCTTCAATGCTCAGGAATGGCCTTCTCACTTCTTGGGGGTCCGTCGACTTGTTTCTCCTTCCACAGCCTCTCCAGGACCATGCTGGCACAAGCGAGCTGAAACTCATGTCCATATTTCTCTTTTTCTCACTGACCCTTTAGCTGCTTGAGGAGCACTCGGCTGCAGCACGGGTCTAAGCCTCCAAACACCCACTTTGCAAGGAGGGGGGAGATAGGAATGAGGATTTTCCCTCTGGGTAGCAGATGGGTCAGAGCTGAGCTGAGGTTTGCACTTCATGGCCAGTTGACCCCTAGCCATGGGCGATCCCTGGAGGTGCTCAAGGCCAGGCTGGATGAGGCTCTGAGCAACCTGGGCTAGTGGGAGGTGGCCCTGCCCGTGGCAGGGGGTGGCACTGGGTGGGCTTTAAGGTCCTTTCCAACCCAAACCATTCTGTGATTCTATGATTCTCCCCTGACAAAGCTCCCAGTCAGCAGTGGTGTAGGAATGAGATGCCATTTGGCCCCTTTGGCTGATCCTGGCCTCAATCCTCCCCCGTGGGCTGTCAGTAGAGACATTGTTGTCGGAGCTGCTGGACCAGGACTGGGGAGGGCTGGGTCTGCCCCAGTATCCTCAGCCAGGCTGCCAGGTGGCCTCATGCTGTTCACAGCATCTCCCCACGCTTCAGTTTCCCCGAGTCCCTACTATCAGTGTGTTCCCACTCTTCAGCTGTCACCTCCTGTAAGCTATTTTCCGTGGTGCATCCATAAACACGACGGGCAGCTGATGAAAAAAATGACACCAGTGCCCGGGTCTGGGCTGCAGCCCGGGGCTGCTGGAGAGCACAGGGAGATTAATTGAGCCATTGAGTGAGAAGAAACAATGCTTCTATTTGTGTGTGCGCGATTGATAAACGGTTTTATAAAAATGTGAGCATGGCAGGTAATTTAAAAAAAAAATATGTCCCCATTGTTCCTGATGTAGCGGGGAGGAATTATTTTTGTAATTCACCATTAATCCTGCCTGGATCCGAGCTAATCAGCTCAACAAGCGACAGAGCGAGCCCAGCAGTCCTGAGCAATGCACTTGGCACCGGTAGCAGCAGGATTTTGGTACCTGTTCAGACAGGCTGTGCTGGTTCTATCGGAGTGTTCAAACCTGCAGTCCCTGCCCATCCTGCCCCTTCCCTCCCCTGGGGCCAGCGTCAGCTCTGGTGACAGGGGACACACCTTCATGGGAAAGCAAAGTGGCGACTTGAATATGCAGAACGATGCTAAGGAGTGAATGTAGAGCAGCAAATATATTTATATATTATATGTTTGACGTGGAGGGGAGCTGCCTGAAGGAGGCAAGACACCTTGATGGGGTTTCTACTTCTTCTTTCCTCCTCTTTTTTTTTTCTTTTCCCCCAGTGATTTTCCAGACTTAGAGCATTTCTTCCCTCCTCAGCAGGGGGAAGCTGGGCTTCTCTTCTCCTGCCAGTGTGACCCGTCCAGCCGCAATCCCCATTCCCTAGAGCTCATCCCAAGGGGATG